CTGACACCCCGGTCCCCCCTTTCCCCAGCCCACGCCGCAGCCGCTACCGCTGCCCCCAGCACATAGACAGACAGACAGACAGACACGCATACACGATCTCGATCCTGGTCCCGATCCCGATCCCGGTCTCGGTCCCGGTCCCGCCGCCGCGTGCCCACACCGCCTTCCCGGCGTGCGCCACGCGAGCCGACCGACTTCCGCTTCCGCTCACCCTCCCCGCCATTTTGGGTGTGGCGCGTCCCCGCTGCCGCAGCCAGGAGTGCTGCCCTGGGCGGAAGAAGGGCGAACGTTAACGAGACCCCCTGGAGGCGCGTCTGCAGCCTCCCTTGCACCTCCGGTGCTTCGTGATACGGAGAAATCACCTTTGACCGTACCAAGATGGCGGCAAGGCACAGACTCGAGAGAGCTGCACTTGCGCATGCACACTTCACGCCCCGGACGCCATACTGCGCATGCGCTCTCTGCGGCGAGGGCGCCCGTGTCGCGGCGGTAGGGTGGTGAGAGGAAGTGACGCCATCACGCCTGGCGCGCGGGGGGCGGGCAGCGGAAGGAAGGCGGCGGCCATCTTTAGTGCCGGCAGGAGCCGAGCCGGGGTCCCGATGCCGGCGGAGAAGATGGCGGTGGACGGGCCCGAGCAGGTTCGTCCGGGCTGGAGCGGGGTGCGGTCGCTGGCCGCGGGGTGCTCGGGTCGCGCCGTGCTGCCCCGGGGCTCTGCTGGGCCCGGGTGTGGTCGGGGCCTGGCGGGCACCGTGACTCGGCGGTCTCGCCTCAGTCTCCCCGAGGGAGCGGGGGCCGACCGGGGCCTGGGGCAGGCCTTGGGGGATGCGGGACGAGGATCCAGGAGGGAATAGTGAGGAGGGCGAAGGGCTGTGTGGGTGGGGATGGTGAGACTCGCAGGGAAGGGGAGCCTGGGGGCTGCTGTTGGGCACCGGCCCGGGGAGGCCGAAGATGGGTGGGAGGAAAAGCGAGGACCCGAGACCTGACCCGGGAAGGTCGGAGGGAAAAATAGGGACCAGAGGGTCAGCACGGAGGCTGACTGAGAGTAATGACGTGTTTTCGAGGCTCCAGCTGGAATGGGTGGCCCTTGGGGCTAAGGCCGGTGCTGCTGAGCTCTGTTCTCTCGCAGATGGAGATGGACGATGGGAAAGGTGGCACAGGGCTCCGGCAGTACTACCTGTCCAAGATCGAGGAGCTACAGGTGAGCCAGTCCTGGCTGCCCAGGAGATGCCCAGTTGGCCTGCTCTAGAGTGGCATCACTGTGGTTCCAGCTGGGGCAGTGTGGCCGTGTCCCTGTGCCTACACTTGCCTCAAGAGCACCCATAGCTTTTTCTGTGCTGCAGGTGCCCTGCTCTGGAAGAAGCACTGCCCCAGGGTGGTATCTACCAGCAGGACCCAACCTTTGGGTGGTGGGAGTGAATGAGATGAGTCTCAGTCCTACGAGCTGACAGCACTGCTGCGTGTGTGTGAAGTGTTGCTCAACTCTTGGCAGTGGGGTTTGGCTGGCCACGTCCTGCTGGGAAGGGCTGTCCCCGTCCAGGTCCCTGTCCCGTGACAAAGACCATTGTGCTGGTGCCCATGTTGGGTTGATGTGAATGCTGCACAGGACGCTGAGGACTCAGCGAAGCTTTTCTCCCAACAGCTCATTGTGAATGAGAAGAGCCAGAACCTGCGGCGCCTGCAAGCACAGAGAAATGAGTTGAACGCTAAGGGTATGGCTTGGCTCCTCTTATCTTCCTCACTTGGGGCTCTGGGGCTGGTCCTACCTGCTGGGCTGGTGGCTCCTGGCACAGTTGCCAGCCACTGTGGCAAGTGCTGCCCCTCTGTCATGGGCAGGGGTTCAGGGCACAGTTGCCTGTGGCTGGTGCTGACGTCTCCCTCTCTGCAGTGCGCCTGTTGCGGGAGGAGCTGCAGCTGCTGCAGGAGCAGGGCTCCTATGTGGGAGAAGTGGTGAGAGCCATGGACAAGAAGAAAGTGCTTGTCAAGGTACGAGGCTGAGCTGTCCTGAGGGTGACTGGGTCTGGGGCAGAGCAGGGGTGAGCGGGGTAGGGTCCGACAGACCCTCCCTTTGACCCCACGGGGGTTGGAGCAAGTGTGAACATGCACTTTGGGGAGATATAACAACTAAAAGACATGACACGAGAGCTCTTTCTCCAGAGAAGCATGTTGCAGCAGCTCTCCTGGGCCCAAACCTTCCCCAGGCTGATGGGAGGCAGCTGGCTTAGGGCTTCCTGGTGGTAGGAGGGGCTGCAGGGTGTTTGGCGGCAGCTGAGCTCTCTGGCTCCTTCCTCCTGCTCCGAGCAGCCGGTGTGGATATCAGGCACGCAACAGGGGACTTCTTGGAAAAATATCTCACAGTGGCAACTGCTGCCTTCCAGGTGCACCCAGAGGGGAAGTTTGTGGTGGATGTGGACAAGAACATCGACATTAATGATGTGAGTGTCCTGGGGCTGTGGGAGGGGATGCCACCGCTCCCTCCAGGCAGCCTGGCGCTGCCTGATCCCTTCTCTGCCACGGGGATGCTGAGCTCCCCTTTGCTCTTGCTGCAGGTGACCCCAAACTGCCGCGTGGCCCTGCGCAACGATAGCTATACGCTGCACAAGATCCTGCCCAACAAAGTGGACCCTCTCGTGTCCCTGATGATGGTGGAGAAGGTTCCGGATTCCACTTATGAGATGATCGGGGGCTTGGACAAGCAGATAAAGGAGATCAAGGAAGTGATCGAGCTGCCCGTCAAGCACCCTGAGCTTTTTGAGGCGCTGGGGATCGCCCAGCCCAAGGCAAGTCCTGCTGCTGTGGGTCTGTGGTGGGGGTCAGCATTTAGGGGTTCTGTGGTGCCACTGTGATGCTGCCTGTGTCACCCCTGGGGGCGTCCCCATGTCCCCTGTCAGGGTGTGGCTGCCTGTGCAGGCACGGACAAGGTGCTGAGCCTGGCCTGGGAACGGTACTGAGGCATCCATGTGGCTGTTTCAGGGCGTACTGCTCTACGGACCCCCCGGAACAGGCAAGACCTTGCTGGCCAGGGCTGTGGCCCACCACACCGACTGCACCTTCATCCGTGTGTCGGGCTCCGAGCTGGTGCAGAAGTTTATTGGCGAAGGTAAAAGGATGCAGGGGGAGGCAGCTTCTTGTGCCGGCGCCCCAGTGAGAGCTCTTGCGGTACTGGGTGGCCTCGGGACTGGCCTTTCGCGGGATGTCCAGGGCAGGCGGAAGCACACTGGCTGTGCTGAGCTGTGTGCAGTGCCAAGGCTCAGCCCTCTCTGCTCCCCACAGGTGCCCGCATGGTGCGGGAGCTGTTTGTGATGGCCCGGGAACATGCTCCCTCCATCATCTTCATGGATGAGATCGACTCCATCGGCTCCTCCCGCCTGGAGGGGGGCTCTGGCGGGGACAGCGAGGTGCAGCGCACGATGCTGGAGCTCCTCAACCAGCTCGATGGCTTTGAGGCCACCAAGAACATCAAGGTAGGAGGGTGTCATCCCTGCCTGGGGACGGGCCAGGGTCCTGCTGGCCCTGTGGTTGCAGCGGGGTGTCTGGAATGGTGACAGTGGCTCTCCCCATGCAGGTGATCATGGCCACGAACCGGATCGACATCCTGGACTCAGCTCTGCTGCGCCCTGGCCGCATTGACAGGAAGATCGAGTTCCCCCCTCCCAACGAGGAGGTAGGTGGGGTGCCCCACGGCAGGCACTGGCTCTCCCTTGGTCCTCTGCTGTCCTGATCTGCTCCCTGGTGGGAGCGCATTGTCCCCAGCCCTGTCTGGGAGCAATTCCTGCAGCTCCAACCCTCGCTTTGCTGCTGCTCTCCTCCAGGCTCGCCTGGACATCCTCAAGATCCACTCCCGGAAAATGAACCTGACACGGGGCATCAACCTGCGGAAGATTGCAGAGCTGATGCCAGGGGCGTCAGGCGCAGAAGTGAAGGTGAGCTGGGGCCACTGCCGTGGCAGTGGGGCTGGCAGAGTGGGGAGCAGTGGGTGACATCTCTGTCCCTTGCAGGGGGTGTGCACAGAAGCTGGCATGTACGCGCTGAGGGAGAGACGGGTGCACGTCACACAAGAAGACTTTGAAATGGCTGTTGCCAAGGTAAGTGCCGTGGGGGAGGCAAAGGGGGGTGTTGCTGGTGGCTTCCTCCACAGACAGCTCCTTGTTCTGGGACCACAAACTGTCCTGGGTGGCGTCTGCCAGGACCTGGGACCTGCGAAGTTTGAAGGGGGTCAGCTCTGGGGCCAAACAAGTGTTAAGGGGGTTGTCCCTTGGTGAGTGACATGGAAGAGGCTGGGGTGGTGGTGCACAGCCAGAACCTGGGTGGAGATGGAGGCTGCAGTGCCTTCTCCATGCTTGGAACCAACTGTCTCCTCCTCCTTGCCCAGGTGATGCAGAAGGACAGTGAGAAGAACATGTCCATCAAGAAGCTGTGGAAGTAACGGTGAGGCTGGGGCTGCTCCTTGGGCAGCGTTGTCTCTATAATAAAGTGCTGCTAATGGCCACATCTGGGTGCTGATTTGGAGAAGGGGGGGGGGGGCTGCAGGACTCCAGCACACGCACACAGGGAGCTGCTGCTAACTGGTTTTATTAGAAAATATCCAAAATAGACAAAAAATGGTTACACAAGAGGCAGAGCAGGCACCCCTGAGCCGTACACCCTGGGAATATGTAAACACCCCCCCCCCGCCTGTGACCACCCGGGGTTGAGGAGCCTGCGGGCAAGGGGCCAGCGGGGTTAAGGCACTTCAGCGGGTCTGGTGGGTGGTGGCACCGTCCCTTCAGCCCCAGTGCTGTGGTCCCCTCCCTCCCCAGCATCTCCAGTTCTCTTGGTGCCCCACTGACTGGTGGGGTGTGCTCAGAGCCCAGTGACCCCGCTACCCACAGGCTGCTGGGGGCAGAGCTACCCCCTCTGCCCCCCCTGACACCTCATATCGCTCACAAGATGTGTTGCTAATTATGTAAAACAGCAGGGGGGGTGGAGTAATCAACTGATTGTCAAAAACTTAATGCTAAAAAACTTGGTTACGTATAAAAAGAACAGCTTGGGCCAAGCCAGCCCTCTGAGAACACCACGAACCACTGCATAGATTGAGGCAATGAGTGCAGTAAGAGGAACTCAATATATTAATCAAATACAAACCCACTGTACAAAACGCTTCCTTTTTTTTTTTATAAAACCTGTTCACAAAAATAGTGCAAAACGTCGGGCACCAGCAGGGGGGGGCTGGCATTTGGAATGACAAAACTTTGGTTGAAGAGGGGCAGGGCCGGGCCTGCCTTCGCAGCGGCTGGGCTCAGGGAGGGCTGGCAGGGCAGGCAGCGGCTCCTGGGCGGCACAGGCAGCTTTTCCCTGCTGGGCAGCAACTCCAGGAGGGCTTTTGGCCAGAGGAGGGGAGCGAGCAGGAGGGCTGCGGTCAGTGCTACGGGGAAGAGGCAAACGGCACAATGCAAAAGCAGGATGCGTTAATGCAGCAGAAGGGCTGCAGCGGGACTTTGGGGGGAACCGGGGGACCCTCCGCTGTGCTCTGCCTGTGGCTAGAGCTTCCCGGCCGAGGGGAGCCCAGGGGTGCGAGTGGCTCCGAATCCCTCCAGGCACGTAGGGTTTGTGCAAGTGCTGTATTTGATTCCAGTAAGAAGTACCATCAGGCTCAGGCAGCAGGGAGAGGAGAAGGAGCTCCCGAGCCCCCGCCAGCCCCTTAGGTGAGGCGGATCCCGAGCACTTGTTCCAGTTCCTGCCGACGCTGCTGGACCTGGAGGAGATGAGGGCAGTCAGGCAGGGAGAAGGGCTGCCCCAGGGGCCCCTCTGCTGCCATCCCAACCTGCTGCAGCACCCCACGGGCACAGCACGGAGCCCACCTTGGCGAAGATGTGTCTGCCCACAGCCTCCTGTGCCCAGGGCTGCTGGTAGAACTCTGCTCGCCGCTCCTCCTCGGGGTTCCCGATCACATCTGTTATGATCTGAGCAAAACGAGGTGGGGGTGACATGGGGTAAGCGCCAGGGCCAGACCCCACCTCAGCCCCTCACTCTGCCCAGCCGCCCCAGGGTTTTACCTTGAGGTCCCTCCTCTGGGATTTGATCCATTCCTGGATGAAATCCTGTGGGTTGTTGCTGAAACTCAGCATGAAATCACGCTGTGTCTTCAGCTGGTTGATGGATTCAATGGTCTCATGAATCTAGGGAGATGACAACGGGTGAGAGTGAGATGACAAGGGGTGAAAGGGAGCTGTCCTGTCCCCCTAGAACAGGACATAACTGCCACCAAGCTCCCCCCCAGCTCTGCAGTGCAGCCTTGAAGTGCCACCCTGCTGCCAGGCAGGGCTACCCCTTCGCAGCGGTCCCTGCACCTTGGCATCCAGGGAGGCGATCTCCTGCTGGTTGGTGGTGGAAGCCAGGAAGTTGCTCATCTGAGCTTTCAGGGGATCGTCTACCTCCACATCGATGTCATAGCAGGCCGTCTTCTTCTGGTCATTGGGGTCCACGCTGGGAGGAAAGAGGGTGTTGGGGGGGGGATTTCCTCAGCTTCCACCTTGCTGTAGGGATGGATTGACTCCCCCGACAGCAAAACAAGTAGCCCACTGACTGCCCCAAGAAACTCCCAAATTTGACTCATTCTCCCCCTGCCAAGCGCGTTGTGCTCGCTGCTGCTTTGGGCTGGATACCTCGTAGCTCCTGCAGGTACTGCCCTCTTCTCCTGCCCCTCCACCCCACAGAGCCCACCAGCCCCGGGGAATGCTCCCCAGTGCACTCTCCATCCCTACCTGATGGTGTGGTTGATGATGATGGGATCTGGGTGCTGCAGGAGCCCCGCCAGCTTCATGGGGATCTCAGAGAAGCGCATGCGGACGCAGTTAAAGATCTGGAGGGGCAAAGCAGAGCGTTTGCTGTCCATGGCAGGGCCTCCTTCCACCCGTCACAGAAAGGGCCAGGCAGGAGGGGGGGAATCACCCAGCCCTGGTTTGAGCATGGCAGGCTGACGGATGCAAGCCAGAGCCTGGGGAAGGGGCATAAACTGAGACTGGGCAGACTGGAATGTCTATTTGCGAGCCAAAAAAGATGCTTCTTCTGGCCTTACTGGGGGTGGGAAGGATGTTCTCCTCCCAGCAAAGCATGCTGGTGCTACGGGGCAAGGGCTGACCTGGCGGAAGTAGCGGTTGCAGTTGATGTACTCCTTCTCATGACTGTCCTGCAGCTTGTTGTGCTTGATGTAGAGCCAGAGCGCCTGCATGATGCTGGCACGGGTCTGGGTGTGCACCCCGAGTAGGCGAGCCAGGCGAGGGTCCAGTTTGTACTGTGGTGGCTGCAGGGACACACAAGATAAAGGAGGTCTGTCTGGCACTTGGAAGGGCCCCTCCTCTGAGCACAGTGCCCCACACGGCCCTTGTATCACCGCAGGCTGCGGGGTCCATGCCTGGAGCTCTCTGTGCTCCTTTCTATTCCCACAGTCCCCCAACAGCCTCATACAAGGCCCTGCCCCAGCCCAGGCCCATCTGCCCCCCCCGGACTGCCCCATACAGATGAGCCGCGCTGAAGGAAGGGCAGCAGGGCACAGCCAGCACCCATGCGGCCCCAGGGCCCCTACCTGGTGATCCAGCATGAGCAGCAGAGTGCATTTCACATTAACATCACCAGGCCGCTTCACTTGGAAGCCATCGGTCTCCTGGGTTGTGGGCAGCCGGTGCCACTACAAGATACCAAGGGGACACTGGTCAACTCCGGGACCATGAGAAGCCACCCACTAAACAGGCTTTGTGTGTGCAGCCAGGAGCAGAGAGAGCTGGTGCTTGGGCTCTGTGCAGGGGTCTAGCAGAGGCAGACCTGTCAGTTCCTGGGAGTCTGACCCCAGTGGGTTTCAGCCAAGAGCCTACCCAGTCCAACAGATACAGCTTGATGTGCTCCAGCCCAGAGGCGGATGGGACTCTGGATGGGCTGGGGGAGATACAGCCCTGAGCACTTGACATCAAGGGCTCAAACAGCTCCTGGAGTCAGAGCGGGATCAATCCTGCCTCAGCCACTGCAGGGGATGCGTATCAATGCTGCTCACAAACCACCCTGCACGTGAACAGGATTCACCCCCACCACAGGAGGCACCACCACAGAAATAAGTGTTTCCTTGTGGGAAAAGTGTGAGCTGCGTGCAGGGAAAGTCTCCTCCAGGCAGGAGGACCCAAAAAGGCTCTGATCCCACTCACAGGCAGTGCTTAATCTCCCCGAGGACCTTCCAGCTAGGCAGTGGGCTGAGAGGCAACAGTGCAGACCTTTCTTCCCATCTGGCTTTGGGATGTACAGATGAGCCTTTCTGTGGCATCATCACCTGTGTTGGGCTCACTTTTGCAAATCTGTGGGTCCCAGGGCTGCCCAAGCTGCCTCTCGGAGCCATGTCCTCGCTGCAGCCCCACACCTCTCGGCTCTAGCTGCGTATCTGTGGGTGTGAGGGGGTTAAGAGCCGAGCAGGCAGCAGTTGCTGCCAGGAGCCATCACATTGGCCACCAGCCAGTACCAGGGAAGAAAACGCAGCTGTAAACTTGAGCCTGGAAAGCACGGTAGTGTGGTCCTCCAAGGAAGGCTTGGCACCACTTCCCGGCACCCAAAAGCACCTTGCTCAACCTCCTCTCATAGCGGGGACAGATGCTGGGCTGTGGAGCTGAGCACCCACAGGGTAAGCAGCAGGCCCACAGCGTGGCCGGGAGCCTCCCCTCTCACCTCCACCAGATGGTTGTCTGGCCCGTACAGCTCTTTGTCCAGCTCGATGACGAGGCTCTTGAAAAAGGAGGAGAACTTCCTCTTCTGCTTGCTCGGCTGCAAAATAGAGCGGGGGAGACTTGGCCTGACACTGCCAGCCACGGAGGGTCCCAGCCCAAACACTGTCTCCAGCACCCAGCAAGCAGAGGGTCATATCCACTCCAGCCAAGCTCTCAGCACAGAGCACCAGTACTCCTCCCACCACTTCATCCCTGCCTGTATTCTTACGTCCTCCAGCAGTTTGCCCTCCACTCGTAGCTCCCAGGAGGCCACGCGCTCACCACCCTCCCCTTCTTCTTTGGCTGGGGTGAAAGTGTTGGAGATGTAAATCCTCAGCTTCCGCTTTTGCTGTGGAATAGAATCATAGAATTGTTTAGGTTGGAAAGGACCTTTAACATCATCAAGTCCAACCATTAACCTAGCACTGCCAAGTCTACCACTAAACCATGTCCCTAAGCACCACATCTACACATCTTTTAAATACCTCCAGGGATGGCAACTCAACCACCTCCTTGAGCAGCCTGGATTTCTGATACAAGCCAGGGTGCTATTGGCCTTCTTGGCCACCTGGGCATGCTGCCAGCTCACATTCAGCCGGCTGTTGACCAGCAGCACCAGGTCCTTTTCTGCCAGGCAGCTTTCCAGCCACTCTTCCCCAAGCCTGGAGCGTTGCATGGGGTTAAAAATAGGAAAATAGAGAGGGAGGGATGCTTGGAGTGAGAGGGTAACTGCCAGCACCCACAGCAGCACCCACCTTGTAGCCTCCCACCCCATCCGGCTACTCGCCCTCACTGCCACGCACCGTCAGTGGTTTCTTAATGGCTTCCTGAATCTCCATCCTCTTCCGAGCAATGGTTTGGTCCAGCTTGCGCTCAAAGGCGAGGAGGTCCATGTAGGCCTGGGATTCTGGGACCAGTTCCCGGATCTGTCAAACAGAAATGATCAGTCCCTTGCATGCTGGGATGGGGCTGCATCCCCCACACCCACCCCAGCAGCACTACTGGTGCTGGGCTGACACAGTAAGGAGTCACCATGTGATGACTCCAGCACAACAGCACCAATTTCTCATTTCAAGCAAAGACTACAGCCCTGCAAAGCTCTCCCTAAATCACAAAGCTGTAATGCAGACCTCAGTTTGGAGCCTGTCACTGTGCCCAGCAGCCTGCCTGGTGTCACAGGCAGGTAACACAACCCTGGATTGTCAAGAGGGACACTCAGGAGAGGCTTAGGGTCCTCCTGGGGTCTCCACCCCAAGCCACTGCTGCTTCTTGCTTGCCCAAGTCCTGCTTGTCCAACTTGTGCACACCCCAAACCAATCCCACCACCCAGAGAATGAGACAGAAATCTTCCAGGTTGGTTTGGGACCAGGTAGAAGTGACTGGCAGGCAGGATGTGGCCCAGTGAGATACTCCTCCCCACGAGGACCTCATCACCCCAGCTGCCCTGGGAAGGCAGCATGGATGCACCACCTCCCTCCGGCAGCTCAGCTCCTTCCCCACGTACTGAGGCAGCACTCACCCTCTGCGGCAGGACCTTGTCAGCCATCTTCCTCCTTTTCACCCTGCAAAAAGCACAGAGACAGGGAAGAAAAAAAATAATCATGCTGCAGCTTTTGCAAAACACCTTGCTGCATGCCTGGTGGGAAGCTGCTGCACATCCCATGCTTGGGCAGCAGTGAGTCTCAAGGGACAACACTGAGCTCTGTTTGTACACCAAGAGCCTGGTGGCTCTTTTGGCCCCATCCAGGCTCCAGGGAGAGGACTCACAGTGGCAGTGCCAGCTGCGTGCCACGTGGATGGCTCAGTCTGAGCCAGATGTTGAGGCTCCCACTGCAGTGAACAGGTCTGGGGGAGCAGGTCCCCTTTTGGGGCTACTCTGTGTGACAGAGACTTTGGACTTGCAGGAGGAGAATAAAGAAAGGCTATAAGAGCACCTAGAGCACAAGCCCTTGGATCAGTGCAGGAAAGCAAATAAGTAAGAAAACATATCCCTGCGGGCAAGTCAAGGGAAGGAATCCAGTCCCTGTGTCTGGTTTGCTGCTGCTTGCTAAAGGTGCTCCAGGGCAGGAGCAAGGCAAAGTTGCAGCTGCAGGCATGCTCCCATCTGCAAGACAGCGTTCCCGAGTTTTCTCTCTGGAAGTGGCCATCCCATTCTCCCAGTGCTACAAACCAAAGCCCAGTTCCAGAAGCTCACTTAAAACCAGCTTAAACCAAACCAACCTTGTCACAGTGGGCTGAAATCATCATGGGTAGAGGAAGCAGGGGGGCCTCTAGAGCCACAGCACGGCTGCAGCCTTGCTCAGAGCCATTTTAGCTCTCTCCAAGCTTGTAGTACTCCTTCAGACCACAGGGCCCTGGGCCCTCCTGCCCTCCTGCATGCTGCAGGCTCCTGGCCCGCCCTCAGCCTGAGCCCACCCCGATGCCCCGTTAAATTCAGACTTAATGCCTGCATACATGGGGAAATGCTCTGCTCCCATTCTGCTGCACACGTAAGAGACGGGGCAGAGTCCAGCAGGCAAAAGGAAGTCCCTTTCCCTCTGCAGCATGTGAAGCAGCAGGGCAGCTAATGTGGGCGTTCGTGCTGCCATCTCGAGGTGTCCAAGGCACGCTGGCTGCCCCACGGCTGCTTGAGCAGGAGGACGTGTCGGGAGGGCAGCCCTAGCTAAGATGGGTGTCAGAGCGCTTCTTTGAGCTCTTCTTGCCATATTAAATACTTCCTGCACTGCAGGGTTTGGCCACTCCATTAGCAACTGGGAGTTCCTGATGCCTTGATCCGCAGCCAGCTGGGAACAAGGATGCTCAACCAGCCGAGCACGGCTGATCCCATGCAGCCAGCCCCCAGGAATGGAGCTGCAGCCTTATCTGGCTGCTGACGTCCTTGCCTGGAGGCGAGCTGCCCCTTGTCCTTAATCCCCAGCTTGCTCTGGAGCACTGAAGGGATGCACAGGCGCTGTGCAGAGGCTGTGATGCCCTGCGGAGGGATCATGGAGCCACCTGAGCTGTCGGCCCTGCCACACAACCAGGGCAGGGAACGGGACCCAAGTATCCATTAAGACCAGGGGACCCTGCCTTGAGGAACAGCTGCCAGTAATCAAGAAGCCCTCATGGAAAACAAACAGAGTGAAGGGATTAGCAACGTTGTAAACAAGCGAGGAGCTGCTGGCAGAGCCCCATGGCTTGACAAGACCAGCCCCAACAAACAGCCCCAACAAACAGCCCTACCGAGACCGCAGCTCTGGGGAGCATCTCTACAACCTGCCACCCCTGTCCCATTTCCACTCACGTCTGTGCCTGCCAGAGCCAGCACAAAAAACCCTGTGAGAAGGAAAAAGACCCCGAGGAGCTGGTGCTGGGGCCTCTGGCAAGCACAAGTGCAGGGAGGGAGGCTTTTCGGTTACTGGCATGGAGATCAGAGCACAGGGAAGCTGCAAGCTGAGTGATCTCTGCCCCCAACCCCACCCCCCCGTCATCGCAAAACATCCCAGCCCCGGGCTCTGGCAGGTTTCCCACCACCAGCAGTGCCAGCTGAGGGGGAGCCTGCCGGCAAGCCAAGCAGGCTCCCGCCTTGCTGCAAGCAGCTCTCCCCTCTGCAGCAGGGCAGGGAGCTGTGGGTTTCTGCAGCGAAGCGCAGCCAGGACCTAGTGGGTCAAACAGCCTGCCTCCAGCCTGCTGTGGGTATCCATCCTGGAGTGGGGGGGTGCCAGCCCCTTACCCTCTCCTCTGGGTGGCCAGTGGCGGCTGTGCCTGGGGGGTCAGCAGGCGCTTCCTGAAGGGGTCCATCATCGACTGCGGCAGGCCGGGTCTCATCGGGGAGGCTGCTCCGTAGGGGGGAGCTCCAGGTGGTCCCACCTGCAGCCCTGCCATGGGCATCCGGCTGCCGGGTGGCATCCCGGGGCGCTAGCGGGGAAGAGAAAAGAAAAAGCGTGTGCATTAAACACTGCCCTGTGAGAGGGCTTGACCTTTGCTGGGGACCAGCGGATGCCATCTGCCCTCTCGCTTTTTCCCTGGGAAAGATTTCTGGGGCTGTACCCTGTTCCGCGGTGCAGGTGAGGGACAGGGAAGGGAGAAGGGAAGAATGTCAGGAGCTGCAGCCTTCCTTGCTGCAGGAAGAGTGACAGGAAAGTAGAACCAGGACGAGCAGAAGCCACTGACCGCAGGGGAAGCCTGGGCCTGCCAGCCGGCACAGAGCCAAAGCCATGTGTGGCCCTGAGCCACCACCACGCAGCAGGAGACATTGGACATGGCGCATCACAAGGTCCCATCACGAGGGTCATTGCCTGCAAAGCCTTCACCCTGGGGACATCAAAGACTGTGGCGTGGGTTGTGCTGTGGGTTCCTCTCCAGAAAGCAGCAGTGCTGGCAGACACAATGCCTGGGCGGGGAGCAGGGCAATCCCACTTCCTAATGGCACTGGTCATGAGGCTGGCAGGCAGGCAGGAAGATGAGCTCCCGCGCACAGGGGATGGAGGCAAGAGCTCACCCCCTGCCAGCATGCCAGCTCCCATCCTTCCACCTCCAGGGACACAGAAAGGGCATTGACGAGCCATGAAGCAATACCTAGCCACTCCTCCAAGGGGTCCCAACCCAGGGCAGCACTCACAGCCCCTCTGCATGCTCTGGAGCAGAGCAGTTTGGCAAGCCAGCACCCACACTGCTGGCTCACAGGTGCCACCAGGTCTACACCCCACACATCCCTCCCGGAGCCCTTGACAATTGGTGACAGCACCCCACAACCCGCCAGTTGCCCCTACGTGCTCCAGCCTGCTTCATCAACAGTCTGAGCCAACAGCCTCCCAGGATCCTTTGATCCTCAAGCTCCCTGCTGCCAAGATGTGAGGCTGGGAGAGCCACCAAGCCAGCAGAGCAACATTTCTCCCCTGCTGCAGGCTCCTCAATGTGCCAGGACATCCCCCACAGCTCCCCTCCCACCGCCCTGCTGGGGCACATGGCTGTGCCATGGAAGAGAGCTAACAAAGCCAACTCATTATCCCAAAGGAGCCCAGCAAGGCAACACTAAGTTGATGAGCTTATCTGCATACAGGCATTAATTTCAGCATAAATCCCGAGTGCAGGAGGGCTTGCAGCACAAGATCACCACCGGCAGCCAGCCTGTCCTCCGCAGGTTTTATGGGCAGGCTCAGAGCTGCGGCAGGGGGGTTGCTTTGATGGCAGCTGGAGCCAAAACACACTCGCCTCCTTCCCAAAAAGCTGGTAAACAGAAAGCCAAGAGCTTGAGTTGCTCCCGCTCTGGAGCCCAAGGTCATGGGTGTCTCTGCAAGTGGGAGATCCCAAAAACACACCAAGTGCTGCATTGAGAAGTGTATTGCAGCTGGGAGGTCAAGCAGCAGCAGGCCACAGTATTAGTGCCGCACGCGGAGTTCAAAAACACGCACATGAAGCATGGGCTGAGCCCGTTACACAACCAAATACTGTCTCCACTTTGCTCACCCTTCCTTTTAAGCAGCACTTCCAGAGCCTGAGCTCACTAACCTGCCTTTGCTACAAGGCACAAGCCTGTTTCTTCTTCCTAACAGCCCCCAGATGTTTCTCTCCTTTTGATCAGCCACATTTGCGCAACTTCTCGTGACAAGCAGGACTGCGCCGGCATCGCCAAGAGCCGACCACAGCCAGCAGCGCCTCCACTTTTGCCAAAAACCACAAAGCAAGAACCCAGTTTCTCCGGGTTTATCAAGAAATCCTCCATGGCAGGGCTGGGAGGAGAGGCAGCACCAAGATCCACACCCTTTGCAACATTAAAAAACACAGGTACTGAGTAAATACTGTTTGCCAGTACAGTGTGGCTACAGGAGGACCACGCTCCCATAACCATGCTGACTCACCTGCAAAGGCTTCTGGAGAACAGATAAGCCATGAGAGGAAGCCGTGAAACTTTTAATCAGAAATTCAGGAGCCCCAAGAAAAGCTGCGTAGTGCCAAGGCTGCAAGCAGTCACCTGCAGTTCCCTAGACCCACCAGGAGCACGGAGAAGACAGATGGTTTTCAGGGAAACCCCTGCCCCCGGGTGTTTCTCAAGCCCACATGGAAGACAGAGATCAGTGCCACAGGGAAACTGGTCTGAAGGTCAGGGAGGTTACCTACGTGACAATGTATGACAACCCAACCCCTTCCCCACACGCACCGACAGGGGAATGCTGTCAGCAGTTTGCTTGGACTAAGAGGTGATGGGGCCATGGCCAGCTCCCGTCCTTTGGCCAGGGCAATTCTCACCACTGCCATGCCCCGAGGTCTCTCCTACCTCCCTCTGCAGGTCACATTTCTGATCTTCCTTGAAATGAGAGATCTGGAGGCTGGCTGAAGTTGGCTGAGAGAGTCTTTGACAGCTCCACATCAGCGATAGCACCTTGTGCAAGTTCTCCTGCTTGTCCATCTGCTCTTAGGAGGGTGAGAGACTGCTCAGTTGCAAGAAGAGGAGGCAGGGAGAGATTCAGCACAAGGATGAATGGATCGGTCATACTTAAGACTTTAACATCACCTCCACAAACATCTGAGAACCATCAGCCACAGCTAAGCTGCCAGGGGAGTGAGTTCCAGCCCACCAGGGACCTGCATTTGATCACTTGGATGAGCAAAAAAAGGGAAGGCAGAATTCTCCATGCAGATGTTTTTTCCCCCCTCAGTTTCCCCTCAAGATTTGCAAATTGCTAACGGAGAAGCCTCTCAGCAAAGCAGGGCCAGACTCTGCCTTGTGCTCAACCAGTGACTGCATCCCTGTCCGGGCAAGCCTCAGCCCCCTCGCCTCCTGCCCGAAGGCTGCAGGCTCCTAAGACTCGACTCACGCAAGCATGGCGCAGCCTTAAATCTCTGGCTAAGCCACGAAGCAGCATTACAGCCCTAGCGGGGTGAAGCCTGCCTCCATCCCTTTTCGGAAGCCCTGGAAATTAGCAGGATACAAGAGAGCTTAAATTCAGGAAATTTTATTAGACCAGCTCAAACCAAAGAGACCTTCCTTAACTCGTTCCTGTCTAACACCCCTTGTCCCTCTGCTCACCCCCCTTCACCCAGGGCAGCGCTGCTGCCCCATCCCCTCCAGGTACTGCCTTGTCCTCCCCTCCCTGCCCCACCACCCCTGCCAGTGGGGCGGACAAAGGGCAAACCTTGCAAGCTCAGCTCTGAGGAAAAAGCTGGACCTCGTCCAGCCCTCCCCGCGGAGAGCGAGTGAAGCCGTTTGGAAACGGGACAGAAAACAGCTTGTTTCTGTTCCCTGCCAAAGCCGAAGGAACGAATGGGGCTGGCTGCGGTTTAGCGGTTCATCCCAGGTCAACGCACAGGCCACTTGCGTTTGGGGAGCTCTGTTGAGAGTCAGCTTCAGCTGAATCCAACGGGAGGCTGGAAGGCTTCCCGACGGACGTTTGCTGGCATGACAGGAGCCTTCCTGCTTGCCAAAGGCCCCTTCTTGAGGAAGGGCAGGCCAGAAATTGGGAGGCTGGTAGCAGAAAGGAGAAACAAGGGGAGCAATAAATAGCAGGATGGATCTGCAAGAAGAAGCTGGGCTGGAGAGCAAGCTTGAAGAAAAGCAGCATTTCAGAAAACAGCTCAAGAGCCTCTCTTCATCTTCCTTCCAAGACTGCAGCTTTTCCCTGCATCTCCCCAGTGAGGGGGAAAGGCTCTTCCCGATGCATGTCCTGTTTTGCTCCATCCAGAAAGGCGCGATCCAACTTTGTACATACTAACAGTCAGCGAGCGAGAGCCCACATGCATCCTCGCCTGGGGCTTTGGGAGCAGAGCCCTGGACAGATGCCAGGCAACAATAGCTCTTCCTGCAAGTTCCCCCCCGCATGCCCGGATGGCAGTGCTTCCCATTAGGACAGACGCAGAAGCAAACGCTGTTCAAACAGGATTTGAGCTCCACACCAAGCTGGTCTCAAGGACAGCCTGGCTGCCTAAAGCCACCGCTCAGCTCAGGGCTTCGCATGCATCGGGACCAACCGAGCCCTCCCCAGCACACCCCAAAATGGCTCTCTTCCCCTCTTTGTTCGCTCTTATCTGTGAGCAAATTTCTCTTGGGAGGGTGCCAGGAAAAGCCTGGGTTCATGCTGGTGGAGATCTTCATCCAGGAGGTGGTGTTATCTAGATGCTCTCACGCAGCACCTTACCCCCAGCAAGCCCCCAAACTGCCCCAACGCAGCTCGTCCCGCTTGGAAGACCTGCCATATTTTGATACGGGAGAAGCTCCAGGAGTCAGATCGCTTCTCAGCTAAAAACAGTAGATGAGGAAGAATTAAATCAAAGAAAGAAGGGCAAAGCAACAGGCAAAGACACCGAGGAAATTTAGGACACATGCTGGCAACGTTTCAAGCACTAGATGTTACAGGTCAGACAAAAAAAAGGTCACAGGGCTTCAAATCATAACACGGGTGAATGCAAGTAGGAACAAGGAACAAAGGTGTTGGGTTCCCGCTTGAAAGAGAAACTCTGGCAGCTGCTAACACAGCATGGAGGCACACACGGGAAGACCAAAGATAGTGCCTGGCATAAAATGCTGCCTTTGGTACTGCTGCCATGCTAAACTGCCCAGGGAACGGCTCTGAGAGCTCCCAAGAAGGTCCCATGGAGGAAGATGGAGTGAGGGCCTTCAACAGCAAGTTCTGGAGATGTTGTCCACTTAGAACTTCTCTGTCACATTTCCCCAGGAAAAACAAAGGGTCCTGTGGTCTCCGCTGTTGCCTTCCTCCCTCTTGCACCAAGAAGACAGCGTTCATCTGCTTTGTATCATCACTTAATTTAACTCGAGGCTCAGTCTATGATGAAACCTGCCTGGGAAACCATCTCCCTTGGGAAGGGTGGGGTCACCCAGCCCAAGCAGCATCACAGCTTACTGGGCAGCTTTCTGGTACAGCTCCAGCCCTGGCTGTTGTCCCCAGGCCCCTTTCAAGCCAAATCCAATTACCCAATGAGCAGGAACACTGTTTTCCTCTGGTCCCAAGAAGATTGGGTGGATCTCTCCCACACTGCACTACACCCTCTCCAACACATCCAGGCCACCCCATCCTTCACCTGGCTCCATACCAGCAACCCACACTTCTCTGGTTCCTCCATCCCAGCTGCCTGCATGAGTTTCTCCATGAAGCACAACTCTGCTTTCCTTCACACTGCCACCTGCCCAAGGATGGGATCACGAAGCTGCAGCTGCATCAAGGGTTAGGATTTGCTTGGACTGCAGCAGCTCTCCTGTCCCACAGAAACCAGGTTCTTTCTTGCCAGCAAGTGCCAACGAAACCCTTTTAATGGGGCACCTAATGAATGCTGCTTTTTACCACATCTGTGCACCAGCGAAGCATCAGCATGGGGTAACTGAGGCCAGAGCACTACTTTGCACAGTCCCACCTCCACCACACAGAGCCAAGCCTCCTCCCTGCCACAGTGTCAGTCTGATAACATGAGAAAAAACTGTCCTAAGCCTGAAACTAGCACCTGAATAAACAGAAGAAAGGCTCCTTTTCACTGAATTTACACTAGCCAGCACAACCTGGATGCTAGGGGTTGGGACTCAGCCTCGGCAGACGTGCCGCCACCAGCACAGGGACAAGCACTGGGACAGGGGCTCTGCCTGCAGACCCACCACCAAGCAGCCTGACAGCTCAGCTGATCAACCTCCTCCTGGAAAAATCCCACACCTTCCTGCTCTAGGAACAGCATCGGCACCTGGCTGCTCTGGAAACATCAGCTCCCCAAAGGGTCCCAAATGGAACTCCCAAAGGGAGTCATCCTCTTGAATTCCCTGCTTGAGCTGCCAGTAAATAACCAGCAGGCATGGAAGGATGTCAGAAGGATGAGCATATGTTTAATAATCCAGTGATTAAAGAGCCCCTAAGCACTCGTTGGCGTGGATAAGGCCTGTTGTGTCTCCTAGTGCCCAAATAATGAAGTTCTTCATTAAGCCAGGGCATAACAGAGCAGAGAAGTCCTCCGGGTACAGCAGGGATGGCCGCTGAGAGGGGAGGGGCTGCTTTCCCCAGCCTGGGAATTGCAAAACAAAGGGCAGACCCTCTGGATCATACCCACTCTCCCCTCCCACACGCAGGCAGCCCTGCCAGCAAGCTGCCAGCCAGATGCAGCTTGCGGCCAGACGTGAGGCACAGCACTCGCCACCAGCCCCAGGGCTCGACCGGCCCCGCTGACCCAGCCAACTCCTGCACTGGCTTGCCAATGCCAGATACCGTGGTGACATACACTCGGTGTACATCACCCTATGCTGGCCGTGTGCTCCCAGCACCTGCTACCATCACGGTGTTACGGCCAGCAACAGGGGGAAAAAGTAAGCATATGTTAGCCTGTTTGCCTGCAGCAGTGAGCGGCTCCCGGCTGCTCCCGTCAGGCTCCGGCTCCCCGGCTGGGTTTTGCAACCTGCTGCACAGAAGGTCAGGGCAAACGCCTGAGCACTGGCTCGGCCCAAAACACCTCTGAGTCGAGTTACCATCGATTCATGCTCAGACTGGCCTTGCTGCACCATCTCAGTTTTCAGCACCAGGGTTTTTGGTGGTTTTAAGGCTACTGGGGGAAGTTGTTTCTCGTATTAGTGAAGCTTACAAACTGGAAATTCCCTCAGCTTGATTTATTTCTTAAGTTTTAATTCATGCAAATAAGGCGGCAGCTCTGGAGGAGGTGATCAGCAGTGGATGAGAACGTGTTGCACAACCGGGCTCCTCCATTTCAAGCCTGCCTGCAAGACTGTGCTTTATACCAGAAACCTAATAACCAAAATAATCACCCTGCACATAAGAGCAAGCCGACACGCCGCGTGTGCAAGGGGGAGGAGGAAACTTAAGTGTCCGTCAGAATATACTTCTTATAAGAGATGTTCAGGCTGGAAAATGAGTGATTTCTTTTGCTTTTTGGGGGCTGCTCCCTGTTCACACTTACTTTTCCCCCAACATCAGCACGCGCCTGTTCTCCTCACCCGCCACTCAACCATCTCCCCAGATTCTTCTTGAAGATACGCACCCGCAACGCCAAACGGTTACCTCCACCTTTGCCAAAGACGCAGATAAACAGGTTTCAAGGCAGCTCTGTGCGATGGGAAATGGCTGCGGAGCCGGAGCCGGGCGCAGGGCCTTGGCCGTGAGGGACTCACGCTTCCTCCGCTCCGGTCCCCATCGGGGTCTCACCGGATCCCGGGGTCAGGACGGTCACCGACCATCGCTGCGGCGGAGGGGACGAGCTCGGCGACGCTGCTGTAACTTTTTCCGTTTTTTTTTTTTTTTTTTTTTTTTTTAAGAGGGTGGAAAGCGAGAGCACGGGAAGGAGGAGCGCGTGGAGGTATCCTAACTAAAAACGCCTGGAAAAGAACGTTACCCGGGATTTAAGGCGGGGGGGTACCGCTGGAGGCTGGCCTCCGGGGTGAGGGACACCCCGGGGTGA